CTCTCTCTCTCTCTCTCTCTGCCCAGGTGTTCCCAGGCCAGCCCTCAGGATGTGTGACCCACACCTGTGTTCTGAGGATGAGGTGGCCAGGCCCCTTGGCCATCTGCATCCCCGCTCAGCCTTCTCTGTTTCCCGCTCACCAAGTCGGGAGCAGTGCTCAGCCTCCTGCCGGGTTTTCCAGCGCCTTCCATTCGCAGGGCCCATGTTCCCGTCCTGAATGAGGTCGGCTGCCTCTGCCTGTGCTCACCCTCGGTGCCCCGCTTTGTGCCTCAGTCACGTGAACGCTGAAGTCGCGTCTCTGACAACCGGCAGAAGCCCAGGGTGGCTCTCTGGCCTGGGCCAGGGGCCGTTACAGCAGAAAGGGGCAGGTGTGGTGACTGCTGTCACAGCCCTCCCGATGCACGTAGGGCAAGGAGAAGTGTCCGCACTCAGCGCTCAGCCCGGCAGGTGCGCGGATCAGATTGTGCCTTGGGTGCGAGATCTTCACCCACAGCTCGTGTCTGTGCACTGCGGCCCCTGGCCTGGGTACGGGAATCCCCAGAAGCGGTGTGCTGCCCCGGCAGCACTGAGTGAGGCCACTGCGCTGGGCACGAGTCCTCAGAGTCGGTCAGCTGGACGGTCCACTGCCCGGCTGCCCCTGCAGAAGCAACTGCTCGAGATGCCGTCACGGTCACATGAGCTAGAGGCTGCAGGCGGCTCCCTTGCGGTCCCACTAGGGGACGAAAGCCCCACCAGTAGTGTAAACAGGGAAATACAGAATGTGTTATCAACTAGAAGGGGCAGAAGTGTGACCCGCGTGTGCGGCTCGGAGTGGGACACATTCTCAGTACGCACGAGGCCCTGGGCTCAAGCTTCACTTCACACCCCACAGAGCTAATGTGGGAGGTCTGGCAACCACCTCCGGGCCGAGGGAAGGCACTCCGTAGTGAACACGGGAGGAACCCTCCCTCCGGCAAGGATGAGGGTCCCCGGGGGGATGGCACACTGCAGGCCCCAGGAGAGAGCCTCGCCCCTCCCGGCCTCCCTCCGTACCCTTTGAACCGAGAACCAGCTGCGGGCCTGGCTGGGGTGCGCCCCTGTGTGCCGACGCCTGCCCTGCCTCTCCTCTCCCGGTCACTAAAGTGGGGAGCTTTCTGCTTTCCGAACGTGCCCAGGGAAGCCGAGTGTCCCGGCATCACGATCTTCTGTTTTCCTTCTCTTTCGGGTTGAAGTGTTCTGACTCATTTCCCTTCAGCAGATCGGGTGCGTTCTACTGCTCTGTCCTCAAGCTGCTGCTGTTTTCCTTTGTTCCCTTCCCTGTTGTGAGGACCGCCGGGAAATGTTGGCTATCAAGTGTTCTCTTTCTGAAGTCTGAGCGCAGCTTATCGTTGGGGTTTTTGGTTGTTACTATTATTTCTGTCGTTCATCCGGGCCTGTTTCCCTCGCCTCACTGAGCGTGGTCGCGGTAGCTGGGTTCCAGTCCTGCCTGACGTCCCAGCGTCCGAGTCACCTCGGAGTTGGCGTCTGGTCATCGTTTGTTCCCTTGAGCCGGGATCTTGGTTTTCTGCTCTGGATTGCATCCTCGATGTTGTCCCTGGCCTCTCTCCTGTGGCTCTCGATCATGGTGCTGAGCGTCTGAGCAGGCAGGCTGCGGGCATCCAGGTGGAGGTTTCCATCAAGGGGCTCCTCCTTCCCCACTCTCCTCTTCAGCCGCTGATGATCACTGTTGCCCCAAGACCCTTCGCCCTGACTCCGGAGGCCACAGATGCCCGGGTTTAGAATCCACAGCCGCCACCCTGGGTGCCTTTAGAGAAAGCTCCCGAGGAACGGGCTCCTCACCCCTTGTGAGCTGCTTGCTTGGCCTTCAGTTACTTCCCAAAGTCCGCCTGCCGTTGTCGGTGTCCGCGCGCTTCGGGAGCCGGCCCGTCTTGTCCTGAGCCGCGGCTGACCCTCGTGGCAGTGCTGTGCTGCAAGGCAGGCTCCTCTCGAGAGCTCGCTTGCTTTTCCTCCTGTTGCCTCTGCCTGAAGCTCACTGCTGTGATCCGTTGCGTGTCTTCAGGTTTCATTCTCAGAGGCAGCCTTGCTTCTGAGTTATCGAGGGACACCGCAGCCTGCAGGCACTGACCAGCCACGTCTGAAAGCGTGTGCCGGAGGCCCGGGGCTGCCGTCACTTAGTGATGTCTAGGTGCTGGGCGTGGTGCGTCCTCACATCGCCCTGGAGGCACACTGGTCTGCGGGCCGCAGGTGATGGTGCCCGGTGTCCCCAGGCCTTTGTTTGTGTTTTGTAAGCAGCAGCAGCTCAGTACCTGATCCAGTTAAACTTTCAGGTTCGTTCTGTTTTACTGGAAGCTTCAGCATCACAAAAAGTAACCTACCTCAGCTCAGTGTTTTCTCACCAGGAACTCTGCGTCACTGATCCGCCTAGGCTCATCTGTGAGACCAGAGTCTTCCGTTCCGAGTGGTTTCCGAGTAGTTCCGGGATGAATTATGCTGAGTTCTCGGTCCCACAGAGCGATTCCGAAGCAGTAATGCCGTGGCACTGCACTGCCAGCGCTGTGCGCGGCGTGGCCTCCCTGCCTCAGAACCCGGCCTCTAGCTCCCAGCCCCCTCATGTTCAGGGGAAACCGGAAATGTGAGTGAGCCACTCTGGGCCTTTTGACACTTTTCAAGCTTCCTTTTTCAGAGGCTTATTCACAATCTCACTCCTCAGTGAGGACTCTTAGTTTTTTCCGTTTTCTTTTTTGCTGGGGGTGCTTGGGAAGCAAGGGCTGAAATTCATATCTCTGGCCCCAGCTGCACAGGATCAGCGTTCAGAGATGCTCAGGGATCTGATGTCAGGAGGAGGTGCTTAGAAAACGTGGCAGCTTAGCATTGTTTGCCACCTGGGGCAAATCATCTGCTTCCTTGTCTCTTAGAAGTCAAAATAATAATGCTAATAATTATCATCATAAATAACCTGGGAAGAGCGTTCACTGAAATAAAAGTGGCGGTCTCTGCAAGATTATGTTCCTATTGGTATTTGACACTGCCGTGCTCTAACCCGAAGGTGCTGGCCCTTGGAGTTAGGGGCAGGAACATGGCCCATCCTTCCCCCCCTGGGCTGGCGTCTCTGTGCTCCTGGGGGCCTGTTGACATCCGCTCTGACCTGCCATGCCTGTGGCCACTGACAGGAAATTGTTCCATTGCATTGCCCTGAGTGAGCGACTGCAGGTCAGGGTCTAGATTGGGGCAGCTTGTTTCACTTGTAGGAAAGTTGCATAGATAGTCTAGGGGTCCCATCACTCGATTTCTCCGAGTGGTAGCGTCCCCCGTGACCAGCGCATGGACGTCAGACCTGGGGTGTGGACGCTGCGAGGTACTGCCTAGACCGAGACCTGGGGCCGGCCGGCTTTGCCATTGCCATCTTCGCCTCGGCTGCAGATCCCTGGGGCCTGCCGGTGCCTGCAGTTGCTGGTGTTGCTCAGGTTTTTTCCCAGGATGTCTCTGCTGGGTGGGTCTCACAGTCTTGTGGTGAGGCTGGCATCGCGGTGTTGGTGGTGTGTCTTAGCCACACCGCAGGAGCCATCGTGCGACCTTCTCTGCTCCATCAGGGAGAACGTGTCACCGAGCTTTCCTGCTAGGCTTGGACTCTCTTCACGGGAAAGTTAGTGTTTGTCTCATCCCATTATCAGTATCATGAAGGGTATCACTGGAGCATGTGCAGAACTGCATTTCTCCTTACACTTTGACCCGAATGTTAGTGTCCTTTGGTAGATGGAGGCTAGTCATTGTTACTGAGATTTTTGCCTATAGTGATTTTTTTTGTTTCCCTTACTCCTACGTTTATGTTTTGTTTTGGTTTGGTTTTGGTTTTTTGAGACCGGGTCTCACTATGTAGTTGAGACTGACCTAGCAGTCACTATGTAGCCCAGGCTGGTCTTGCACTCACAGTGATCCTCCTGTCTCAGCCTCCCAAGCGCTGGGATCCTTCTACATCTATTAATTGGAATTCTTCTGTAAAGGAAACCTGTCCCTTCTCTCTAGTTTCTAAATTTATTTCTATTAGTATTGATTCATGGATTTTTTTTTTATTCTATGAATTATGAATCCAAGCCTGTCTTCTCTTTCCTCACTCACACTGTCCCAGCACTAGCCTCAGGGGCACTTTCCTCTGGGCTCCGGAGCATGGGACAAGCCTCCTGTCTCCTAAAGCACTTTCTGTCTGGCACGGCAAGATGCTCCGGGCTCGTCTTGTATTTTCTCTACCTCAGCTCTGGAATCATCCATTTCTTCCTGGAGCTCTGGATCCTTTTAGTGCTTGTTAAATTGATTTTCAACAGAGACATCAAGGCAGTGTACTGGGAAAGGAAAGCCCTAAGTAGACAGTGCTGGAACAGCTAGCTCTCTGTGTGGAAAATAGGGAGCTTTGACTCATGCTTACGCGAAAACTCACTTGAGATGTGTCATAGACCTCAGTGTAGAAGCTGAAGCCATAAAGTGTCCAGAAGAGTACACAGGGGAAAGATCTTTGCAAGCTTGGGGGGAGACAGAAGTTTCCTAGGACACAGAAAGCATGACCATAAAAGCAGAAAAGGATTCATGGGAAGATTCCATTAAGAAGACAAAAAGGCAAACTATTTTGGAGGGAAATATTCATCATACGTGTATCTAGCAAAGGGTTTGTATTCAGTACATACAAAGACTCTTGAACAGTCATTTCACAAAAGAAGATAAAGTGGCCAATGAGTGCATACAGAGGCACTCTGCTCAACATCAGTAGTCTTTTTGTTTGGTTGGTTGGTTTTTGGCATTTTGAGACAAGGTCTCCCTAGGTAAACTCACTGTAGCCTAGGCTGGCTTTAAACTTGAAGAAAACTTCCTGCCTCAGCCTCCCAAGTGCTGGGATTACAGGCATGCACCACCACACCCGGCTCAACATTATTAGTCTTTAGGGAAATGCACGCTATTAAAATGGCTACAATTTTGGGGGCGGGGGTACCGGGGATTGAACTCAGGTCCTTGTGCTTGCCAGGCAGGCGGCGGAACTACTGTGCTAAATCCCCGGCCCTATTGGCTACAATCTTTAAAAGACTGACAATGCTAGATATAATAATACCGAGCAGTCTGAATTTTCATGTGTTGCCAATTGGGATGCAAAAGGGCACCTCGCTGGAGAGAGTGGGGCATCTTTTAGTTGCGTAGCGTCAACCCTTTCCCAGAACCCCAAATCTGTAATATGAGTCCACGAAAGAGACCCTCACCCTAGCGTCCACCCTGCCTTATTCACAAGTAGCCCGACCTGGAAGCTGCCCGGTGGCCCTCGGCAGGTGAGTGGACGGACAAGTTCAGCATAGCCGGGGGTGGGATTGGTCTCAGGAACTAGCTGGGCAGGGACCCGCCAGCACAGGCAGGGTCAGTGAGCAACAGGAAGCGCAGCAGAGCCGGGGAGGGCAGGTGGGCTGGAGCCTGGCGCGGCACCTCCGTTTGTCCTTCTGATACTGTGTCTGCGCGTTTGGTTTCCTTGATGTGGTCCCGGCTCTCTCTCCAGGTGGATCTACCTTAATGACCAGAACTTGTGCATCCCTGCCAGCTCCTCGTTTGTTTATGGGGCCGTGCCCATTGGAGCCAGTATTTATGTCATCGGAGACCTCGATACAGGTAGGGTGTCACAGTGCTCTCTGGGAACTGTTCCCGAAGAGTCAGCGGTGGTCGTCTTACCTTCGCCCCCTGTCGCGGTTTAGGTACGAACTACGACTACGTGCGTGAGTTTAAAAGAAGCACAGGGACCTGGCACCACACCAAGCCGCTCCTTCCGTCTGACCTGCGCCGCACCGGCTGTGCAGCTTTGCGAATCGCAAATTGCAAGCTCTTCCGCCTGCAGCTTCAGCAAGGCTTATTCCGCATCCGTGTGCACTCGCCTTGAAGAGGAAGCGGGGCAGGACCTGCAACCCTGTGCCCAGCACGCCATCACGTAGCGGGATGTGACGGAGACCCGAGGTGCAGCCGAAACCTGCTCTGTGTGCCGGGCTTTGGGGTGGTAACTGCGGTGAGGCTTGAGCTTCTGCTCTGCTGGGAGACCGAGTGACTTCAAACACTGCCTAGAGGAAGCGGGGCCTCGGGTCGGCTGGGTCCACGGACCATGGTGGGTAATGATGGTCCGAGGAGGGAGTGGGACTGGGGATGTGAGTGGCAAAGCTAAAACCTACTGGCGGGAGCTCATATCTGACTGCTTTGGAAAAGAAGCAAAACAACCCGTATATGCAATCCAACATATCCAGACATACCGAGATTGCTTTTCTACTGCACTTGGAATTAGGCCTTCATTATGCCTAAGCCCTCCCGGTGAAGTCAAGTCTGTGCCTAAAATGTTAGATTGGACTCTATGCCAGTTAGTCTATTACTAGTACTCTGTCCCAAGAACTTTTTTTGAACTGTTATGATGAACTGACACTAAGGTAAAATCTCTTCTACAATGTTCTATCTCAGCAATGTAAAGATTTGGTGAATTCGTGAGTCAGGTCGCAGCCTTCGCGTGCACTGACAGGAAGTCGCTAGCCTGTCGGTCGCCTTCGATGGAGACATGTGGCGCTGTAACTTCGGGGCGGGTCTTTCGGAGCTGTGAAGGAGCTCGTGTACCACTGTTCTTCCTTTTACACGAGGGAGGATATTCGAGGGTAGGAGATTTTATAAAAGAAACACCTGAGTTAGACGAGTAATCAAAGTCTACTGACTTTAAAAAAAAATCTGTCCAGAGCAAATGCGTAGGGATCAAACCTTTTTAAATATAATCTGAAAGCACACAAAGTCTTGATTATTACTGTCTAGGATTTGAGAACCTGTTTTAGAATGGGAGTCTGTGTTAAAAAGCTAGTCTCTGTAATGGAATGTGCCCAATCCCGTTCACTGGTGTTTTAGACAAATTATGGGTAGCGTTTGGCTGGTAGAATAAACTACCTCAACTTAATTTCATTCTGTTCTTATAGCAAATTCCTCTTCCTCTCTCCCTCCTTTCCTGTTGCTCATTCCTACCACAGCCCTCTCCACTCTCTCTCTCCCCTCTGTGAGGACAGAGTTCTCTCATTGGTCAAACTTCTCTTGTAATCATCTTGTTTTCCGTTCAGATTATACCACGTTGGTGTGAAATCAGGGACTTCAAAGTGCTTGATTACTTCATAGTTTGAATTTTATGCAATATCAGATTTCCAATCAGTGTAATATAGAGTACTTCATTTCTCATTGTTTTCTACAGCTTTTCCCCCTCTTCCAGTATGGCTCTAAGAAGCGACATTTTGTCTTACTGGTGAAGAAGTGTATAAATGCTCCCGATGATTGTCGATTTGGGAGCAGGAATCTCCCGTGAGCTTCCCACGCGGACTGTTGTGTGCTGTGAGCGCGTGTAGGAAACACTGCTTATGCGGGCGTGAAGAGGGTGACCTGGCTGAGCTTGTCCTCACACCCGCTGCGGTCGGGCTGTGGGCTCTGAGGAGTGGCAGGGGTGGCCAGCCAGTAGGTGCTGGTGAGAGCAGGTACAGCATTTTTACCTTAAGTCCCCAAGGCGCTGGGCCAGACAGGCCAGGCACTCGCGCAAGCCTGGCCAATCCAGCCCCCGTCAGAGCCCCCTTCAGACAGCTTTCCGTCCCAGCGAGCTGTGTGGCCACGCCACAGGAAAAGCGCTGTCTTTTCACCGCAGATACTAGTGTAGAGGAGATAAACTGCTGGGAAGGTGCGTTTGCTCTGCGGACGGGACCCACAGCACCAGGGCTTGGCATTGGGAAGCCTCAGCTGGGGAGCGGGAGAGGTGGAGCTGCGCCCGTCACTGCCCTGCGGCCAGCAGGGCTCGGACTTCCGTTCCTGCGGTGCCTGCGGTGCCGTCCCTCCCGGCCAGGCCTCTCCAAGGGCACCGTTCATCACGCGGGAGCGAGCAGGTCCTGCTGCGGCATTGGGAGCGCCTGTGTGACTTGATAGATTCACTTGGAACACTTTTTAAAATTCAGTTCGTTTACATTGTAGCTGCAGAAATTAATGTTTTATAGAATAAATTTGCCATTGATTATGGGATGCAATAACCAACAAAAGCTGCTAAGTGCCAAACTGCTATTTTACTTTATGTAGATAGAAAACAATTATGTTGGAGGTAGGGCTTTATTTAACTTTGTTACGTTCCAGAACTACTGGACTTTTTTGTACGTTACACTCACTTCAGTGTTGTTTGTGTCCCAACGTTCCACGTAGGCCTTGGAATACCGTCTCGCGGTAAATCTTCGGCAGCTCTTGCTCCATGGGGCGCGTGTGGCACTGGCCGTGCAGGACCGGCCCAGCGCCCCGGGGAGGTGCAGTTGTCCCCGCTGGGCTGTGCTCTCTGGCTGCGGGCGCGGGGTCGGGGCGCTCTGAGGCTGTGGTCTGAAGGGCTGCTGAACACGTCCAAACGTACACTTCGCTTACGTGTTTAATGTAAAATGAAGTGTGTTTTTGAGAGTGCCTACGTCCTGTGAGAACCATGGGAGGCGAGGGAGGTGAGCCTGGGCGCCGCGCCGGTGCCCTGAGGGGTCTGTGTTCGCCCTGGAGCTGCGGTTCCGTGCTGCGCTGCTTCTCTCCCGGGGCCTCAGATACACCCTTGAGCCTGCCACCCTCGCCTGTACTGTTGCGTTCACTTCAGGATCGCACGTGTGAGAACGTGTCGTGTGCCGAGGGTTCGCCCGCAGCTGGCATTGCTCTTCGCTAGCGGGGTTAAATTCAGCATTTACTGCCAGGAGTTGGTGTGCGGCAGAGACGGGGCCTAAGGGTGTCAGCTGCATGTTTCTCTGCGGTGAGGAGGTGACAGCTCGTTTAGGTTTTTCAAACTGTGGCCGTCAAAAAGACTGTCGGGTATGTGCGTCCTGTTCCTTTGCCCTGCCGTGTCGCTCAGTACTTTCTTCGTCGGTGGCGTGGAAGTCTTTGCAGCGGGGATGAGCATGCTCCCCGGCCAAGTGCAGGGACTGCGTCTGTCCTTCATCTGCACGAGGAAGGTGGGGCTGTCTTTGCGATGCCACCGGGCGCCGCGGGGCAGTGAGTGAGATTTCAGGGAAGTCGGCCCTGCTCCACAGCGCCCGCCTCCCAATGACATTGATTGCCTGGGAGGACAAGGGGACCTGGCTGTGCAGGCCTAACGGTGCTGGGAAGGGGCCCTGGAGCCACGAGAGCCACAGACAGCCCAGACCCAGCAGAGCCCGCACGCCCAGGCCACGAGCCGCAAATCACCTCCCTCGCTCACGGTGAATGCGCTGGGTCCTGGGTGCCGGGCCGGGGCCCTGTCGGTGTCACTGCGGGCCATGCCCGCGTATGGTGGTGTGACCCAGTGTTAGGTGAGTGAATATGGACTCCTCACGGTCAGAGTGGTGCTCCTTGCTGGATGGAAATGCAGGCTTTTGTTTTTTTTTTCTCATTGAGTTTGTTGGTACTTTTTAGGTACAGTCCGGTCACATTCGTCATTGGGATCTTGTACATGACAGGTCTTGGAGTTTGGCTGCTTTTAAATGGAGAACTTTGCACACCAGTAGGTTCGCCTTGGGTAGTGCGGGAAACTGGCATAGAATAAAAGCTGCAAAGTGCCTGTTGCATGTAACACACAGCCTGTGGTCTCCATGTGTGCCCGGGCACCTGAGGTCTGGGCTCTGCGCACCCGACTGCCCTACTTGCCTGCAGTGGCACAGGTGCAGCTGAAGGATGAGCCGCAGGGCCTGTGGCCAGTCCCCAGGGCCAGAGATCAGAAACAGGAGACCCTGTCTGGAGAGGAGGGGCTGCCCTGCCCGGCAGGAGGAGGTGGCGACTGCCCACACCAGCCCACCTCCTCCTCCACATGGAAAGAGCCTCAGGGTGTCGAGGGAAGCAGTTTTGCTGGTGGTTGAGAACCCCTGAGGATCCCTAACTGCCCCCTAGGAATTGCACAGGAGCTCCGTGGGGCCCCTCATTGCTGCTGACCCGAAGCTCTCAGTGGTACTGAACTAAAGATGTTCTGGTTTTTTGGGGTTTTTTTTCTTTTGTTGGTAAAACTTTTTAAATTTTTATATTTTTCAAGAGTAATTCATTGTTTTACGTCTATCTCATTGTATGGTAGTTGCGTCTGTGTGAGGTGAGGAGTCTGTTTATGTTCCTGAACCCCTTGATCGGAAGCTTCCAGTGTAGGGACGTTGGCCCTTTTTCAGCTGTCATTGGAATTCTCCAAGTGATTGCATTTTTTTTTAACTCTCCCTTTCTTGTAAAACCAAATGTCTGATAAGTAAAACTGTGTGATTAGTTACTTAGTGAGAAACTTCTGCTTTTTATTTTGAGAAAACAACCAGTCTTTTTAGATTGCTGTCAGAGAGGAATTTGGCCTGCTGATAATTTCGATAGATATCCTCGTAGCCCAGAGCACTGTCGCACTTTGGGTCCTGCTCTGCCAGGAGCAGATGTCCGTTGTGTTCTTCGGGGGCTGCAGTGTGGGTCAGAGGAGCCCAGGAGGATGGCAGTACGCCCCACGGAGTCGGGGACACACCATGGAGGTGCAAGGAGCAGCCAGCCAGGTGAGGGAACCCTCATAAGTAATGGCCTGTCAGTCAGGCACAGAGACACACGCCCATCATCCCAGCACTCTGGGAGGCTGAAGCAGGGAGATCGTAAGTTCAGCCTAGCGTGACCCTGTCTCAAACAAACAAACAAAAACAGAGGAGACGGTATGTAGCTCAGTGCCAAGACCCTGGCTTCAGTCCTCAGTATAGAAAAAGGAGACAGATGGCCATTCATTTCAAATGATTCACATCCCAAGTCCATATGGGGTCGTTTTCTACTTAGTGAATTGTATTGAGTAGGGCCCTCTTTTTAGTGTTTCTTCAGATAGGTTTAGATACCTTGTTTTTATTTATATTCATCAGACTGAAAGATGTTCCCTGGAACTTTGGGTTAAACTTTTCCAGTTACACCAGGGAACTTGGTTTAAATACAACTCCACGCAGCTGTCTTTATCGTGTTTCCTGTTTAATTAGATAAGAATTATATTCATTGATTCCCCCATTCTTTGTGTTCTCAGCTACCTCATTATGTAGTGTTGTACTTGATTCCCTGCCAGTGCAGAAGAATTCGACACATTCTGTCCTGTAACAAAGGCCTGGAAGCAAGCAGTGAGCGGCCTTGAGGACTACAATTCTCTAAGGTGTATTTTCCACTTTACTACTTTTTTTAGAATAGGCACTTTTCATCAGGAGGAACAATAATTCTCCTGGAGCTATTGCAGAATGATTACTTGAAACTCAACATGAACTTAAAGAGTCTTTAAAAGCCTCTGTTTTCATATAGCAGGAAAGGAGTCTGTTCAAACACCACTGATGTGTGAAATGGAGGGCTTAATTTCCCTGCTCATGGACCCAGGGTTTGGAGCTCAGGTGCCTGAGGCCACTGATTTTCCTTTCCGGTCTGGTGCTCTTGGCTCCTGGGAATCTCCGATTTGGATAGGGGTGTGGACTCATTACCAAGTTCCTCATCTCCATCTCCTGCAGCTCTGATAGTCCTGGACTTCACAGTCAGTCCCTGAGGTGTTTCCCGGGCCACGCCACGGAACTGCATTATGCTGAAGTCGTGAGAGACAGCTCTGTCCCATGTGTCGGGATCTCCCTGACGTCCTCCTGTGCCTGTGCCTCTCCACACACACGTGAGAAGCTTCTGCCTACCCGCATCTGTCAGCTTACCCTGTCCCTGGGTCAGGCAGGGCTCAGCCACTGCAGGCAGACCCTCCCTCCTGGAACAACAGCCTCTCTCCAATGTGGAACCACAGGACTGACTTCAGTGGAGGCCTTTGATAGTCCTCCTTGGTTGAGAGTTTTACCCATGCCTTTGAAGCCTCAAATATTCAGAATAACTTAAATTCCAATGAAATCTAAAATTTAGCTGTCTTTATTCATTACTAAGATTTAATTTAAACCCAGCAGGTATGGTGGTGCTTTCCTCTAATCCGAGGGCTCTGGGAGGCTGAGGCAGGAGGATCACAAGTTTGAGCCCAACCTGGATAATACAGCAA